CACCATCTCCATGATTTCCTCTTTGAAAACTAACCTTTATATCTGCATATGTAACATCATCGACTTGCGAAAACGTAAAGTAATCGGAAGCAGAAGACCACCGGTTGAAGGCACGAACAATTGGAGGTACATGATTGTTTGGATAGTCGGATGCGAACACGTAGGTGAGTTGGGATTTACCGGGGGGCCATCGAGGGTTGTTTGGGAAGAATCGATAAAAAGAAACAGTAGGTAATGATTTCGATCCATGGTGGTGAATTTCTTTATCTGGTACTCCACAACGAGGAATAACCATTTGTGAAACTGTGGCCTCATCTAGTGTCCCTGTTGCATTTAAACGGTAATATTTTTGGTAACTTTTCAGGGCAGCCTCGAGTTCATCATCGAATTTGTCATCTTCGGCGTTGGTGTGTTCAGGGGTATGTTGGTAATTTAGGTAGCCGAAACGGGCAAGGTATAGTTTAAGTTGATGGAGGCCTTGTGCTTTGCTACCCTTATCACAACAACCTTTCAGTTGTTTGATGGACTCAATGGAGGATAATTTGGTGGGATTACCAATATTACCCATGGTACGAGAGAAGAAGAAAAGGAAGAATAAGATCGACAAAGAGGGTAAACAGGTAACTTTAAACGTCATTATGGAATATTTTTAGTGTTTTGGTTAAATGATGCATACTATCGGGAGTATTTATAGCAACGGTGTTGTGGAAAATTTAGTCCACTAGAGGTCAAATTGACTAAAATGTCCCTCTACAATCCCAAGTTATTATTACGTCTTTGGTTGTTGTAGTTGTATTTTGAATTTGAATCTTGAATTCATTATTTCATATATTAGGAAAATCATACGAAAATACAACAACGTATTCTCATTCGATTTGCTTTTTTTTTTTATTTTATTAGAACATCGATTTCTTATATATTTATAGCTTTTGTGTTTCATACATTAAAAGTCGAACTTTATATGAATTTTTTGTTGACGTTGGCCTAACTTGTATTTTACGACATATATTTTAAAAACTAGTGACATCTAAAATGCATCCTTTAAGATATTATTTGAATGGTTGATGATCATCGAACGAGCTCAAATTGTCTTGACTAGCATGTTGTCGTATGTATAACTGAAAGACTCACTCGGTAACGACTTCATCCTGAAATTTTGGCGTTTGATTAACTTCGAGAAAAACTTGTTGATGCCATGAATTACTAAGTTGTGTCGCATTCAATCAGTGGTCCAATTCCGATGGTTAAATGTCTATCATTCATTTAATTTATTATAAAACTTTTCTTACATCATCAA